TTTGAAGGAGCAAGAATTTTGCTCTAGAAAACTTTATTTAATGGAAAATCTGAGGATTTTACCTGCCTCTGGCTATTTAACATATGACCTTTCCCTCTCATCCACCTTCCATCCTTTCTCTGTCTTCAGAGAAGAACCAATATAAGTGCAGAGAGCAGAATGAAAGAAGCAGCCGTAATACATTGTCATGATATCACTTAGAATCAGAGTGAATGCATACCATCCTGAAACAGAAAACAGAAAACATATGGGAGATAAAGAAAAAGAGTGCATAAAAATGTGCAATATGAATTTTTCATTGGCTTCTACTTTTTACATGTTTTCCTGTTCAGAGCAAATCATATCAGCTATCATTTCTAATGCAGCCTTTTTAAGCTTTAGACTTTAGAAAAGAGGAATGGGTCTTGGAAGCCTAATATTGAGGCACTTAGCTGTGAACGTTTTCCTGGACTTTATGAGGCAGGTTGGCCTTGTCCCTTATGACCACACACACACAAAATCTGTTGATGCGTAGATGTGACTGCTTTTTTGCATCATCGGCAGTGACTAACAGGTTGGTTACAAGAGGTGTTATCATTCTATATTTTGGGGTGTGGTGGTTTTTATTCTTTTTTGACTTATTTTGATTCGGAGCAATAACATCCGCTTAAGAAGGAAGGCTGTATTTTGGCAGAGATTATGCCAACACAGGAAATACAAAGACAGTATTGTACCAATGTCCTGAAACGAGATCTCCTATACCTTTTGTCAGTGATCCTTAATTTGTGGAAGCCAATTTAAACACTCCCCATACATGCAGTTAAACTACACTTGTGGAGAAATATTCCGGACATTAGAGTTATTTATGGGTCTCATTATGCCATAGTCTACGTAAGAAAGAAGGAGAATATTCTGTCAATGTTTGAGAGGAGGATGTATTGTTTGCTAGGTTGCTAGGTTGCAAGGATGAAGTGTTGACATGGAAAAAAAATGGCAGGAATATTTCATGTTTTAATAAGAAATAACCTTTCTTCAGTTTTTTGAAAGAAAGTGTAAGAGTCTTGTCTTTATTTTTCACAACTACATAGGGATCAATTGAGCTCAGCAACTGATATTATGCAATTTAGAACAGATGTTAAATGAGGTGGTCATGGGGGCAAAAGCCAGGCAGAAGCAATGTTTAACTACATGAAGAGCAGAAAAAAAGTAAAAGAAAACTGCCCTCAAAATGGTCATATATGATATATTATATATCTCATTAAGATAAAAAGTAAATGCACCATTTACAAGACATGTAAAGCTTAACACAAGTAACATATTTTCTAAATTCAGATGAGTGATACTCATTTTCAGTTGGCACACTGAAACTGACATAGAAAAATACTAATAGAATGTAAGTAATACTTCAAAATGTTCTATATGCAATATTTTTAAGAGGAGCATTTATTGTGATTATAAATCTTTGGCTTTAGCCTTCGATGTTCTTTACAATAGGAAAAAAATCCTCTTATCAAAGCATAGTTTGTAAAATGCATACCATATTCAAAATGTAAGCCAAGATGTATTTTCATTGATAGCTTCAGGCCTTGTTATACAGTGCATGTTATAAAACTCTGGAAATTAGCATTTGGTGTTTGCTAAGAGATAGAGCAGAATTCTCAACCAACCTAAACCTGTATTTTCCAGTTTATAAGAAGGAATACTGACTGACTAAAGGCCATAATACCTGCTTTATGATTAGGAAAATTTCAAGAAATTCAATACATTTCAGTTCCAAATCACAAGCTTCTACTATTTAAGCTAAAGAAGTCACCTTCCACTATCATTGAAACAAAGAAAAGACTTTGAACAGCTCTGGATCTACTTACTCAGTTGAGTCAGCTGTGGAACTCATGCAAAGTCTCTTGAGCAAGCAGCAAGTGATATGGACAAGTATGACATCAGTTCTTATGCTTCTGCACTCCCTCTTGGGTAGCATATCCTTAGATACGAAAGGAAGATTTTTGTGTAGAACCTTTTGTACATAGAAATTCTAAGATGTCGAAGAAGGGTAGGAGAGGTTGAGGCCTTTGTTGGGAAAGTAGGCACTTCAATCATATCTACACTATTAAGAGTCGAGAGGGACTACTGTCTGGTCTACCAGCTGGCCTAGCACAGTTTATGTTCAGACATCTACATTTTTTCCTTTTTCTCCAAAGAACAGCATGGCCGTATCAAAAGTGTTTACTAGGCATAACATCTGGAATATGCCTTTTCCCAGATGACAGCTGGACACTGTCTGGAAGTATGAGTTAGCATAGGCCAAAGCTGAGGAGGCAGTGGGCTAATAGCCAGGCACTACGGGTGAGCCTTCTTTAGTGCTCAAATCTGACCTTGAAGCTTTTTTTTTTCCTTATCCAGATGTGACTTTAAATTCCAATGCAGCTGTACTATAACTACTCAAGTGTTAATTTGGTGCTTTTCCATGGTGTTCACTCCTCCAACTACTGAAACTCTTTCATGCCAGTTCTCAGGCCTGAAAAAAGACCTGGAAAAATGAAGGATCTTTGTGAGAAGGGCTGAAGACTAGCATCTCCTATCTTCTAATTTAGTTAGCTCTGAGGGTTTCACCTACTACTTGTTGAACATCTAACAGTGTTCTGCAGAGGTATCTTGTCCCATAAACCTGAAGTTTCTTCTGAAGAAACCTGAGCATGGGGCTAGGAAGGCTGATGTAAGTATCAGCATTTCACTCTGAAGTCGGGTATGACCTGACTTCGTATCCAGACAGAACTCTGAAAATCTCTTACCATGTAGCCTCACTAGCCGAAACAGAGCAAAATGGGACCAGCATATTAAAAATCTTGATATAGACTGCAGACAAGTTTAAAAGGGGCTGCAACAAAAAGGATACAGAGTGAGAGACATTTATCTGATAAATAAATCTTAGGAACAGGAATACTCATGCATTCTTTAAAAATGTGGACAAAAGTTCAAATGTAATTTTGAGACAAAGCTGAGGATTTGTGAATCAGAGGAGGAAGATAATGTGTACAAACTGAGATTGGATACATAAAAATGTTCACAGAAGCCTATGGTTGCATTATTTACTTCTATTCTTGATTCTTGAATAAACGTTTATTTCCTGTCTTGCTTAAGTAGACATACGGGTTTGCTCGTTTTCTTGTTACCATGTATGGTGTTCTGCTCAATACACTCCCTATAAACTGATTTACATTTTCAAATACGATTCATAAATCAACATACTACTCTTAGATCTATTCTATGAAGAGAAAATGTGGATTCATACTGAACAAACCTACAGCGTTAGTGATCAGGAAGGAACATCTGTAAATATTTATGTGTTATCAGAGCCAGCATTCTTGTCTCCAACAAATAGACTATACTCACTGGCTATTTAAAAATATAAAAACAGTTACTTTTTTTCTTTTATTGTTGCAAGTGTCAATATAGCAACTGAAGCATTAAAAAGGTGGTGGGAAATATAGTCACTGCTGGGAAAACCACTTGCTGTTTAGAAGTTTATTTAAGGACAAAAAGTATACACATCATCTAGTCTTCCTTCTTCATTTACTGTGGATAAGAAACCTTTGTAAGCAATTAAAATTGAATTTGTAATGAAAAAAATAATATTCTACAGAATGCAGTAGGCAAAAGCTACTATAAAGAGGTAATCACAAACCATAGATTAGAGATAAAGGCTTCACTTTATCATCTAGAAACCTTACCCATACCTGCCACCATTTCAAACAGGCTCAGACAAGTTTTGTGATTCTGGGACCAATACACTGAAATTAGTTATACAATTTAACACTGACACTAATAAAAATTATAACTGACGAGATGCAACCAAACTCAGATAGATTGCTCTTTTTAGGTGTCGCTTTTTGAATTTTCAGTGCTTAAAAATTTGATCTAAGTTTTTTTTTTATTGAAAACAGGTCTAGAAAGAAGGAAAATAATCAGCTGACTATATAGCTTTTCAGGCAGTGATAAAGGAAAGGTAGTTACTAAGCTTTTTAGATATTCTGCATGAATACAAGGAAATTTTTGTTATATAACAACATAGATAGCAAGTATCAAGGCAGTAAATAATGTACTTCAAAACAGATAAGTGAAAAATAAAATAGGAAACAAGCAAACCTCTCTGTACACAATCATACAGGTTTTTCCTCACCTTCATAGTGTGGTGTCCAATCTATTTCTGTATGATCACATATGAAACTTTTCCATGTCCAAAAGGCTAGTTTAAATCTTATGACAAAGATCATTTCTCAGAAGAGAATAGGCAAAAGAAACTAAAATGAACATGTTTATTTTGCTTTTCTGTTTAAATAATGATAATAATAATCACAGGTGCTGCAGCCACGACTACACAGTATCAGATGACAGCATCTTTAATGTGCTCCTTTTGGCTCCTAAATCTAGACATTGATCCTCACTGTTGCAAATTTCTCCCCTACTCTACAGCTGTTGGTGTTCAGGAACACTAATGTGTGTTTTAATGCTGTGGACTGGATAGGGTTTTATTTGAAGGGAAGCAGCACCATCTATTGCAACCTGAGAGCTTAGCTCTAGACGGTATAAAGAACAGAGCTGGCCTGAGCCCAGTTTTAAACTCTTTCTTGCACTTATTTTCATACATTTTTCCCAAACCAGCTTCAAATGAGGTTAGGATTTCAGTTTGTATACGATAAGATATAGGGACAAGGGTGTGTGGCATATGTGAATGCATCTAATAAAAAGGCACCTCTAAGAGACATACCTGTTTACAAACTAAGATAAAATAATAGCATAAGCCTAGTCCTGACTAACTGTTGCTTTTAAGTGACTTGGCTGGAGTTTTCACTTCTGAAGTCGGAGGATAGTCAAAAGTTAAGAGTATGTTTTACCTAGGTGATATTCTCTTAAAATTTACTTTCAGAAGTAGCATTAATGTAGGTGTGTAGTACAGTATGTTCTTCTAATAATGACAGTGCTATTGTCATCCATCTATACTTCTGATTCTTCTCTTTTTCCAGACTGTCTACAAAGCCTGGCTCTGTTCCCAGTATTTTGAAGTCACACAGTTTCACTGCAGCAACAGAATTCCTTGCAAGCAATACTGTTTGGAGGTTCAGACGAGGTGTCCCTTTATATTACCAGACAATGATGATGTCATCTATGGAGGACTATCAAGTTTCATCTGTACAGGTATAGTATAGAAAAGTTAATTTCTGTTGTTTTCATATTGAAATGTGAAGGAGAGTGTGAATAATGTTTCATCCATTAGCTCTAACTATGAAAGCCTGAAGGTATTCCTCATCGCAAAGATTTCTTGGAGGTGCTAGGATTTGAGCCAAGATTTAGTAATGCACATATATGCTACAGCCTGCCACAGTCATTAACTTTACAAAACAAAATTACTAGAAGAAATTTATTCTGGTTACTTTTTAAGCATAATAATTTGGTGGAGGATTTTTGTTGCCCCGTGTCATTCAGTACTCTAGAGAAAAGAGACTCTATGTCATGCAATACTCAGAAAAGAAGAGAAAGGCAAAACAAGTTTAGTATATTCACTTTTATTCACCTGTATTCTTATGTCAGATAAACAAAGGTTCTGAGCTGTAGCATTCAGAACTGTGCATCAGCTCTTAGAAAGTAAATGTCTAAGGAAAGATCTTTCAGTGGTGAAGAACTTTAAGAATATGTTGTTCCCTCGTGAACAGCTATCTTTTCGTTAAGGTTCTTGTTCAGTCTTGTTACATTCTGGGATTATTTTAATTTTAATGGATATTGCTAGTATAAGTCTGCACATTGATGAAATAGTTTGGTTCCTTTTATGTTCCATTCTGCTTCAAACATTAGCTCAGAATGATCCAACCGGAGAGGACATGATAGGGAAGAAATACCTTCAGTACACCTCATGTACCTCGGATACTTTTTTCAGGACTGGCTGGGAGTCATCCACACAAAATTCAACTTATATCAATGTTATCTGCAGATTTCTAGTGCCTAAATATCATTCGAGAATCTTGGAGATATTTAGGCAACTTATTCCCACTATATCAGTAAAAAGGCATTTCAACACTTGGATCATTTGACAATCTGGTTCAAATATCTGAAATTAAACAGCCTTTGCTTTAAATTAGGGCTGCACTGGAAAGTTTGATACTAAATGAGTTGCCCAAGATGAGATAGTTAAAAATAGAGTAAAATGTAAAATGCTATATATCATCTCAGAGGCAGGAATAATTTTTGTGGCAGCTCACTTCAACTTTTACCCCGTGTTTGAATTTAGGGGGTCTCTGGTAGCAAGATGTTTACTGTATTTCTCCTTGAATATTAAACCTATTGCACACAATCAATCAATACCCATCCATATGCAAAAGACAATAGAATGAAATGTAACCTGATTTACAATTTGGTAGTCATTAGTAATGTAGTGGTACTTAGCACTTCAATACATTTCGTAAATATCAATAACCTTCCAATATGCATACACAGTAAGCAAATGAGCATTATTTTCCAGTTTAAGATAGGACAGTAAAAACTGAAGTGAGAGACTTAGCACATTTTTATTTACAACATGTATACAATATATATGTGTGTGTGTGCATGTATATACACATGTGTGTACACACATTCACACACGCAATGTCAAAGAACAAACAAACAATAAAGAAAACCATCTTGGTAATTATTTCAGAAAATCTCTTAGGAAATACACATACACCTCTTCACCTATTCATTTTCCTGGTATATCTCCAAGTCCAAATTCATTCCCAAACCACACAAAATAGATGACTTTGCAAATATTATTGACAGTCGGTATCTCTGAGTTTGCAATGAAAAGCAGATTTAGGGGAGGATTAAACTCATTTTACTGCAGGTATTAGTAGTGTGGGTATCTACACATAAACTCTGTGACTAAGCTCTCATTAGAGTCACTGAAGATCTGGTGTAGTCATTAGAGCTGTTTAATTCATCCTAAGTGGACACCCACACCCGACAAGCTGACTAGCTCACTCTGCCTCACCAACAGTCCTGACTGCAGTCTATTTGCTGAGGCTGCTGTTAGTCACCAAGGTCTTATTGCAGACACTTAAAACCAAGGTGACCTGAATCTCATCTCAGCAGTCCACTAACTAATATTTAGTTGAACATTTTGTCCTCTCAATTCAAGACACTCAGCATCAGCAGAGCAGGGCGTGTGTTCACAGACCCATGGGAGAGCATGCTGACACTAGGCAGTTGTGTGCAAGAGATGTTCAGGAGAGACACAAGGCTGCAGTTCAAACTTTGGAGTACAGGCCCATCGCCACCCTCTTGTTAATCAGCAACTCACTCTAAGAACACTTCCTGCCACTAAACAATGAGAAATTAGACCAATATCTACTGTGGGACTAAAGAATTGCACGTCTCTGCAGCTTAATGAAAACAGAATTGTTTCATGCAAAGTAGAGTGAGTTCAACAGCAGACAGAACACTACTTCAGCTTAGCTTGTAGTTTGACAGTTAACTTGGATTGATTTTGCAGAAAAGCAACTGAAAGCAGGTCGCCCACATCTTGAGGGACTTCTCTTGCTGCACTTTCTATGAGTTCCTGTCTGGCAGACATGTTCTGGGTTTTCTAGATACTGATCCTGCTCTTCCTAGAGCGGGTGAAATTCATTGGCAAAAATCAAAAGAGACAGGTCAAAGGTATTTCTATTTGATGTTTAGGTGTTATAGCTGGTTGTCTGGTATCTCCATTCAACCTAAGTTCACTGTGAAGCTGGTCACCATTGAGCTCTGCTACAGGAA